GAAGTGAAGGAATTCTCAGAGGGGTAAAAAAAGAAAGGAAGAAAAATGAGAATACTCTGAGAAAGAAGTGAGGGCCCATGTGGGCTTTCGCTATGAGATTATCTGTTAAATTCTGTACACCTAGGTCTTCTACTTTGATAGCTGTGCAGTTGTGAGGGCCAGGAAATAAAGCCAAGAGCCCATCTAAAAGGAGAAATTTAATAGGAGATAAAAATCTGGGGCCCCAAAGGGCTACATTCCCAGTGTAAAGGTGAATCAGAAAAAAAACAAAACCTGATGTACAGGTCAGTAAGGAAACATGTCTGTCTTGACCTTGGGGTCCAGGAGAGGAAAAAAAATTTCCTTCAGCATGTATAACAAGCTACTTGGCATAAGGCCCAAATTCAATTTACCTGTGAAATTCAATAAATCTTAAATGAAATATTGAATTTAGTTCTAGGGTTTTTGTTGCCTCCTAGCAACTTGCAGTAGCAAATTCTAATACTCTCTAGGAAAACTCACTTTGAATCAGGTCTCAAAGAATCCCCATAGTTAAAACCCCAGAAACATGAGTGCAGAGTCCATATCACAAGCCACAAGGAAACAGGCACCAGGAGCAAAAGCCAGAAGAAACAGCAGACTGTACAAAATGCCCATGCAGTTTTCAGTGTCAGATTTAACAGACAATGTAGACTATGCTTAATTTGTATAAGAAATTAGAACATGGCTTGAAAAGAAAACCAAACAGAACTTCTAAAAACACAAAGTATATGGAAATTTGGAGGTGGACCGTATACAATAGATGTTTCTCTCACACTGATCTCTTTCCCTCTTTTTTTTTTGTTGTTTATTTTTATTTTTATTATTGCTTAAAGTATTACAAAGGCTATTATTACATGTGTCCTTTTTTCCCCCCCCGCCCTTGACAATCCCGTCTTTCCCTCTCTTAAAAAAAAAAAAAAAATCAATAAAACAGTCCCCTATGAAGATTTAAAAAAAAAGATAAAGATAAATAGAATGAGACCTGTTTTAGAGGTATTCTAAGAGATAATGAAGGAAATGGGAAATAAGCAACACTGAAGATATAATGGTTGAGAATTTTCTAGAATTGCTGCAGTATACTAATCCTGAGATTCAGGAATCCTGTCACATCCTAAACATGTTTAAAATTTTATATATAAAAGCCTAAGCAACAGGCCAACTGGCCAGTAGCCATGATGCCCACTGACCACCAGAAGGCAGACGCTCAACACAGGAGCTGCCGAGAGAGCAACTTTGCAGAGTGCCTTCTCCCACTCCGGGACCCCTCAGGGGATGTCGGACTGCAGGCTGCTGGTTTTGGCCCGATTCCCACAGGCCAGGCTGAGGGACCCCACCTGCCAGAGGGGCTGGCTCACTCTGTAGATGCCCCAGGTGTGGCCGGGCGAGGGACTGCAGGAGGTTGGCTCCAGAGCGTGTCCAGCACATCTTGCCCAGTCCCGCCCTGTTGGCCACCTTCTAATGAATTTCCTTTCAATGTGCACAAATCCGTGCACCGGGCCTCTAGTACATTTATAAGGAAAGAGAGGAAGGGAGGGGGAAAGGAAAGAAAGAAAAGGAGGGAGGAAAGAAAGGGAAGGAGGGGAGGGGAGAGGTGGTGAGGAGAGGAGGGAAACGGAGGGGAGAGGAAGGATGGATGGAAGGAATGAATAAATTATCCCTAGATTCACTGCTTTGAAACTGGGATATCAGAGATCTTAAAAGCAGCCAGAAGAAGGAAGGAAGGGGAGGGTGGGAGGAAGACTGAAGTCATTCGAGTTTAAATATAAGTACAAAAAATAAATTAGGTAATTGTTATTAGGATAGCGGTTAATTTCCTTTGGGGTTCATGAATCTGACAGCTAAGTATCCTGATTAAGAGCAGTGAAAACGTCTTCAGCACAAGAAAATGTCAAGGAGGGGGGACGCAGGAAACAGAAGAGAGTTAAGTAAAGACAGGTGGAAAGTAATAGCCAACCTTTACTGAGTGCAAAAGTTTTTAAGAGGAAAACTGATCCGTGAAGGACTATCACGGATGAACATTTGAGAAGTTCAAAAACACCCAAAAAGACAACGCACAGGACTACAGACGTCCAATACAGGCTATTGGCTCAGCATAAAGTTATTCCAAGCACAGCCCGTTAGACACGAAGGCTCCGTCCGTTATTTCTGCTTGAGATTATATATAGATATAATTTATTTATTTATTTATTTTGCGGGTGCAGGCTGTACGTATAGATCCATTTCATTAGAATGACGACGAGACAACCGCAAAATGGAATAGATGAGAAACTACTGAGAACTATTTGTGCACCCTTTTTAATATGGGAAATAGTCACCCCCATATTTTAAATAAACTCTTTGAGTGACATGGAAGCCCACGAGACGTCCTGTTTACATTTTGGGGAGCGGACACGGAGGCTGGGTTCCAGAAGCGAGTTCTGTTTTCCCGAAGAGCCCCGCCTGCCTGACCTTGCGGGGGTTCTAGCGCTGGAACCTCTGCTGCTCCCCCCGCGCTCCTCGAGGCCCTAGACTCACACGCAGCGGGGCCGTCGCAGCGGCAGGGACAGCGGAAAAGTTGTTCCTAGCGGCGCTGGGCAGCCGCAGAAGACTCCCGTCCACACCGGTGCAAAAAGCAACAAATAAACACGGGCACCGCAGTTGGGACTCTGTTGCGCAGCCCTCGCCATGGCACCTGGTACTTGTAGTTTCCGTGTGAAGAACTGCCAGCGGGTTAGCTCGCTGACGAGGGAGGAAAACTACAATTCCCACAACGGCGCGGGCACAGGCACGGCCGGCCTACGTCACCGCCCCAGCCAGCCAATGACAGCCCCGGGCGGCAGTGAGGCAAGCGCCGTCAGGCGCCAAAGTGGTTTTTTTTTTCCCCTTTTCTTTTTTTTTTCCCACCGAAGCCGAGCGGGCGCTGCTAGCGGAGGCGCCATATTGGAAGGGACAAAACTCCGGCGACAGCGAGTGACACAAATAAACCCCTGGATCCCCTCGTCCCCCAAGCGCTAAAGGCGCTAGATGTTGTACCTAGAGGACTATCTAGAAAGTGAGTGGGCGGCGCTGGCCGGGGCCGTCCGTGGGACCCGCGGGCGGGCGAGAGCGCGAGTGGCCGGGCAGGCGGGATGGCGGGGAGGGAGGGGGAGGCGGGGGATGTTTCTTTCTCACGGTAACTGGCAGCCTCGCTCAGGGTTGCCGGCTCCCTCGACCCCCACCCCACCGACGCACGCACGCACGCACGCACGCAGTGACGCAGGCACGTACTTTCGCCGTTGGCCCCGCCCCTCTGACGGACTTTTCCTTTGACAGTGATTGAGCAGCTTCCCATGGACCTGCGGGACCGCTTCACGGAGATGCGCGAGATGGACCTGCAGGTGCAGAGTAAGTGGGCGCGTTTGCTCTTGTTCGCCGCGCACGTTCAGTGCCGGACTTAGTCGCTGTCGACCCCAGCGCCTCTGCTGTCTGACTCTCTGGCTGATTCGCACATAGGAATTGTCAAAAAGAATTCAGTGCCAAACCTTGCCTCCCTTGCCTCCCTCCGCTTTCCTCCTGGCGTTGACAAGAGGAGACACTGGAACGCGTCTGTGTTCCTTTCTCGGATTTTGGACTGTGCAGCCAGCGTGCCTGTGCCTTCATTGAGACCGTAGGTAGATGTTTTCATGCACAGCGGCATGAATGTCAGCATTCTGACTCGGAGCCTTTAGGTGTTGAACATATATTTTAGCATTAATGCTTTTGCTAAAGTCCATCGTATTAAAATTTTTTCAAGAGCAGAAAATAGAAGTATGGGTTGCATGCAGTTTTTTAGAGACCCTTGGGATGTCACATTGGAAAAGTTGCACATTATAGCATGTATTCTCAGTTGTCAACAGCGTGGTATTTTGTTAATCAGAATGAGCGAGGGGAATAAGATTTTACTGTAAAGCTTCTTGTATGCCATAATAAAATTTTTGGCTCCCCTTCTTATATCAGTGATAGTTGGTAATTCTGTGACTTTTTCCCAAAATTAACCTTACTCTTTCATAGGGCAGTATTTGGTTTATATGATCCTTTTTTTTTTTCTTTCTGTGCAGTTTCTTAAAATTGTTCAGGATTCAGAGAAGGTAAAGAATCAGTGCTTCTGGAGATAAGAAGGTCAATCCATTGAGCAAAATTACACTTAAAACAAGGAAAAACCGGCCAGTGTGACTCAGTGGGTGAACATTGACCCATGAACCAGGAGGTCACGGCTCTATTGCTGGTTAGGGCACATGCCCGGGTTGTGGGCTCGATCTGTTGGGGGCGTGCAGGAGGCAGCCCATCAGTGATTCTCTCTCATTGATGTTTCTATCTCTCACCCGCTCCCTTCCTCTCTCTGAAATCAATAAAAACATATTTAAAAAACAAAAACAACAAGGAAACAGTGATGATTACCAAATTTTTGTTGCTCATGTTTTGAAAGAACCTCACAATCCTTTGTGAAGTGAATGTAATATAGCTGTTTACTATCTTGTATAGATACTATATTAAAAATTAAGAATGTGAAATTAGCCGTAACTGGTTTGGCTCAGTGGATAGAGCATTGGCTTATGGACTAAAGGGTCCCAGGTTCGATTCCGGCCAAGGGCACATGCCCAGGTTGCAGGCTCAGAACCCGGTGGGGTTTGTGCAGGAGGCAGCTGATCAATGATTCTCTCTCATCATTGATGTTTCAAACTCTTTCTCCCTCTCCCTTCCTCTCTGAAATCAATAAAAATATATTTTTAAAAATGCTCTACTTACAATAAAAAAGAATATGAAGTTATATGGTACATAATGAAAGTGAATAATCAAGTGTACCTTTTGGCCTTGTGTCACTCCCTTGTTTGGAGAAATGAAAATAACTCTTAAATTATTTAAATGACATGAATGGCTGGCCTTTGTGGGAGTATATCTGCAGAAAATATGTTTTGATCCCATTTATTCCAGCTGTGTTTAAGCTATACATAAAATGTTTCTTGTGCTGCCAGGTTTTCTTAGAAAAGTGAGGGTGGAGGAAGATCTGGGGTGTGGGGTCTGATAGGGAGGAAGGAAGAACCATGAAAAGAGATTGGAGAACCAGACATTGCAGAGTGTGGGAGTCTTGAGGTAGCTAAGAACCTGTTCTTTTCTTCCCTTGCTTCTCTGCCCCAGCAGCAGCACACACGTTTCCATACCCATTGTTCAGGAATATACTTTTCTCAGTCTGTTGTCAGTTTCATGTGGCACGTAATAGGAGGTGATAGATGTGAAAGGCACCTTCTTTTATTCAGTATATTGTGGTGTGGAAGTCTGAATTGTGTGTTTCTCCAGCTTGCTCACAAAGTTCATTGTAACTTTAATATAGTTGAAATGTTAAAATTTCGCTAAAGTAGTAGTTACCAATAGGTTTGAGCACAGATTTTGAGGTTCATTCAGATCCGAGTTCATTTTCGGTTACTGACTTCTCATTGACCTTGGCCTCATTACCACTTCTGAGGGTTTTTCCTCTACAAAATGAGAATCATCTGGGAATTAAAATAATACATATAAATTAGAACATACAGTGCCTGATAGAAGGTAGGCATTCAATAAGAAGTAACTTAATTTTATGCTTTTTTGTTATTACAAATTTAAAATTCTCTTGCAATTTGGACTTAGATTATATAAATTAGAGATTTTAAACTTTTATTGTTTATAATAATTAGAATTTTCTAAAGTTAATAGGTATGGATTAACAAAAAAGACTTCTTTAGCAAATAAGTTTGGAAATGCTTATTTAAACAAAGGAAAATTCTCTTAAAAATTAACTGTAAGACTTCTCAGAATCTTTAAAGAGCTATTATTTCACTGAAAATCTCCAAAAGAAGGATATAGTAAAAATGTTTTCCTTAATTTATTTGGCAACAGAATCCCTTTTATTTATTTTTCTTCTTTTAGCAGCCATGGAATGACTACTCTTGGCACATTTAGGAAAAAAATGTATCTAGAATAAATAATATACTATATTAAGTGATAAATGATTGTACCTACTGCTTTTAATCATAGATAGGAGATGATCTTGTGTTTAAGACCATATAGCAAGAGGTTAAAATCATTTTTATAATTTTTTCTTATTAAAAGTATGTGCCAATTTCCCAGTGGTACTTACAATACGACATCGTGTTTTGACACATTTGGCTGATTTAATACCATTACCTTTTGACCTAAGACTGTACTATTCAGAAACTACAGTATAGAGCCTATCTGTATTGTTGACTACATTGACTATTGGAAAAAGTTATGAAGTAACAACAACAAAAGTAAATTATTAGTAGGGAAAATTGTAACTTTGTTTTTTACTAAGGTAATTAAGGCATTCTATATTTACAGAATTAAAGCATGCCATATTTAAAGTTCGTGACCCAGTGAAGGAGTGTACATTGTCAGATATTTGTTTCTTTCCCCCAGTCAAAGCACGTATATTCAGTGTATGAACTTGGTTGTGTAAATATGAAATGTTTTTGTTATGTCATAGATGCAATGGATCAACTAGAGCAAAGAGTCAGTGAATTCTTTATGAATGCAAAGAAAAATAAACCAGAGTGGAGAGAAGAACAAATGGCATCCATCAAAAAAGTATGTTCAGCACTCTGGGTGATTTGTCGGTTAAAACTGGGACTGTCTGAGAAAGATATTTTAAAAATAAATAGTTTTCTGGTTATCAAAATGAGGGAACGTTACCAGTGGCTTCTGAGGATTTAAATAATTTGTTGTGTTTTAGAGCTTCATTGAAGCATTTTGGTAATTTATTTAGAAGTTGTTTCAGTAATTAGTGACTTTTATTAGAGAGTGAAGAGCCATAAAAAAGTACACTTTTAATTAGCAGAACTTGAAGCACATTTTTTATATTACTAGGTACCTAAGTTGGTGTTATCACAGAAGAACAGAATCTTAAGAGATGAGGAGGATTCTTTCAAAGTATTTTAGTTTAAAACTCTAAATTCATACATGAACTAGGCCTAGAAATAAAGATTTCTTTGAGTTCTTAATTAGTTGTACAGTACTTATAGCCGTCTTTCAGATTAGATGGATATCAGCTCTCCCTGCAGGGTTTGCTTTAAGGGTATGATTTAGTTTGTTGGAGATGCAGTGACAGAACTGTTTCAGACACCTGGCTTTGGTGACGACTCTGCCATTTCGCTCTGTGGCATCGGACAGGTCCTTTAATATCTCTGCGTGATAATGACTCCCCCAACTCCAGCCCACATAGAATTGTTCAAGGATCAGCTACTAAATTTGAAAACTATAGATTTAGAGTAGTGGTGTCATTTATTTTACTGCATGGGGGGAAGATTATTTCTGTTAGGAGAACAAGAATTTAGAATTTATGACAGAATTGGTCCTGGCTTAGTATACCTGGAGACTTAGGTGTGTGTGTGAATATAGACGTCACATATATACATCCCAAAGTCATTCATTATCCCTTTAATCTGTTAAGGTAAGTTTTGGGTGTAGTGCAGCTTGCATATACTCTGAGAAGTCTGATACTCCAGGGACATTCATAGAATTTATTTTCTTAAACAATAATTTGCTTTCTGCTGAGGAGAAATCTACAGTATAGGTTGAGCTGTGTGAATTGATACCTAACTTAAAATGAGAGTTATACAGCAGTTGGAAAATAGAGACATTCAGGTTAGCATTTTTTCAGTAGTTGTACTTTTATAAAAAACATGTTTTAAAACTAGAGACTTTAAATGTTATTTACAAATTAGATAAATCTTAACTTCAAAAGAAATTTTAAAGGAAAAGATCTAGTCATTACCGCATATAACTTTCATTAGTATAGAGGCTAGACTTGGAATAGTATTTATTTTTATTTATATCTTTTCTAGGAATTCTGAACATCTTTCTCTAATTCTTGGCCATTGTGCATAATTTCTAATTCTACCTCATCTACACCCTTTTCTTAACTGGGTTTTTATTGCTTACTTAGGATGACTGACAGTGATAATAAGGAATGAGAATGAAAATGTGGTTATATGTCCTAGATACACATATTTTAAGATTATTAATTTATTCTTGAAATGCAAATGTTTTTATTTAGGATTACTATAAAGCTTTGGAAGATGCAGATGAGAAGGTACAGTTGGCAAACCAGATATATGATTTGGTAAGTAAAATTAATGTGCATGCTATGCCATAAATACTTGAATTGTGGTCACTTTAAATTTTATTCCCTTAAATGTAAAAGGAAGAGCAGACTAAAACATTTAATTTGAGAGTTCAGAATCTGTTTGGTTTCTTTGTAGAAAAGATTCCTGTAGTGTCCCACAATGTTAGTTAACAGGTCAAGATCCTTACATTTTAGCCAAATCTTTATTGCTTTCAAATTGTATCTGATGTTAGACTTTCTGTTTGTTTAGCTTTCTTTTAGTAATCTTTTTCTTCTTAAGGTAGTGTGTTTAGTTTCCTGATAAATCATGTTGAGATTGTTTCTGTGGTAAAATAAACAGAAGACTACTGTGTTGACAAGAGTTCTTGGTAGTCAAATTAGAATGAAGAAGAGAATCATTGGAATCAGTGTTAATAGATCGTACTCACCTATCCAGTGATGTCAGTAGGTAGTGCACAACTGGCTTAGGTGGCAAAAGTGGGAAACAATAGACTAAATAAACTTTTTAAAAAGGTTCTTTTTTGCTGCAGCAGCGCTTGTACTAGTAAAAGATTGAAATTACTAAGTAGACAGGTATAGGCAATATTTCTGAAACTGGTATAAATATGGTGCTCCTTTTAATGTAGAGCATCATCTTTGACATAGATACTTTAGTTAATACTCATTTCTGGTTTGCCTCAAAGCAAGTTGAAGCTGAAAACAAATGTTCACTTTAGGTGAACTTTAGCATATAGATTTTATGTCTTATTTTTGTAGTCACAATCTTATTACTGAACAAGTACATGTAAATATAAATGCCTTTGGTGAGCAAGACACAAGAAGAAAGATGCATACCACCTATGGTATACATTGTAAATGCTTACACAAAACTAGTAAACATTTGTCGTGTATAGAAAATGTTTAGTTGTTTTTATATAGCGAAAATATTTTATGGCTATAATAACCTAGGCGCGTTTGTTCTTACAGTTATTCTGAAAACAATTTCATAAAAGATAAGGCCTGAAGAAAGGTAGAGGGGGTAGTAGCTTCATTTATTATGGAATGAAAAAGAAGTTCTTTATTATTTTGGCCTTGAATTATGTTTATAAACAGAAAAATACAGTTTTCTTTGAATCTGAGACTAATTTTTTTTTTTTAGTAGTATTCTTTCTCACCTTTAATGACTGTATATGTCAATCTTTATATATGGATTACCTGCTTTTTATTATTTATTGATATATTTATTTACTAGAGGCCCAGTGCACAAAATTCGTGTATTGGTAGGGTCCCTAGGCCTGGCCAGAGATCAGGGCCAATCAGGTTCCCTGCCTCCCTGCCTCCTCCTTCCCTCACTCCCTCAGCGCTCCACTGCTGCCACTGGTCTCCCACCATGTTCTGCGCCACTCCCAGGTGGTCAGTGCACGTCATAGCAAGCAATTGAACTCCCGGTCAAACTCCCGATGGGACAATTTGCATATAGCCTTTTATTATATAGGATTTTTTGTTAATCCTCACTCGAGCATTTTTTTCCATTGATTTGTTTAGGGAGAGTAGAAGAGAGAGGGAAAGACAGAGAGAAACATCGATGTGAGAGAAACACATCGATTGGTTGCCTCCTGCACAAGGCCCGACCAGGGCCTGGGCCGAGGAGGAACCTGCAACCAAGGTATGTGCCCTTGACTAGAATCGAACCAGAATGTTTGGTCCACAGGCTGATGCTCTATCCACTGAGCCAAACCGACTAGGGCATAGATTACCTGCTTTTTAAATCATATAGCTCTTTGGTTGTACTCTGTTTCATTTATATTTTGTGATTTTGCTTCTTTTTATACCTTTATGAAAAGTACTTCATGCATTTAGGAAAATATGTATATAACGTAAATATGTGCTTTTTAAATGTGTGTGTTTGTATCCATCTGTTACTTAGGAACCATAGTGTTTATTCACTCTGTGCTTGGTATAGTGGAGTTTACCTAGGTGTAATGGAGGAATAAAGAGAAAATATTATAAATCGTTCCTGTCCTCAAAGTAAACTAGTTGGAAAGACATGCCCTCAAAGTAAAGATCCTGAATAGGAACATGTAACAAGTAAAGACTAATGCAGTTGAGTATTAAGGGATATCTGGTAAAAGACTGAACTAAGTCATGTGGAGTTACTGTTGATTTCTTAGAGGGTATGAGATGAGTTTTGAATAGAATTTATTCAGAGGCTCAGGGGTCTGGATTAGGTACTATATTGAGGGGAAAGTATTACACTCAGAAATAATGGATAAACATAGAATGAAAATGAAAATTAAATTTTTTGAGGAGGATAGACTAATTAGACTAAAAGGGTGAGGAAATAGCCCTGGCTGTGTTTCTCAGTGGTTAGAGCATCAACCCACGGACCAAAGGGTCTTGGGTTCAATTCCCGGTCAAGAGCACATAGCTCGGTTGCAGGCTTGATCTCTGTCCCTGGAGCTCATGTGGGAGGCAACCAATCTATGTGTCTCTCTCACATCAATGTCTCTCTCTCTCTCTCTCTCTCTCTCTCTCTCTCTCTCTCTCTCTCTCTCTCCCCCCCCCCCACCTCCCCCCTCTCTAAAAATATCAATGGAAAAAATATCCTTTGGTGAGGATTTAAAAAAAGAGTAAGGTATTAAAAGGTGATGTATAGACAAACAATAGCGTAGTGATTACCAAAGGAAAAGGGATGGGGAGAGGTGGGAGAGAATAAAGAGGATAAATGGTGAGGGAAGGAGACTTGACTTGGGGTCGTGAACATACAATACAATATTATAAAAATGTACCCCTAAAACCTATATAATTTAATTAATGCCACCCAATAAATTCAATTTTAAAAGGTGATGTAATAAATTTAATAAAATGTAATCAAAAGTAAGTGTCCATAACAGAGCCATACAGACATGAGTTCAGCTGATAGCAGGACTTTGGAAAAGTTATTTAATCCGGGAACCTCAATTTCCTTATCTGTAAAATTGAGTATTAATTTGTACCTGACAGGAGGATTTACCCCATATTATGTAATGCTCTTAACTTGGCGGAAAGTAGGCACTCATTCCATTTTTAAATTCTCACTCCATCGCATTTCCCTAACTGCCATTTTTTACTTTCCTGAAGGCACTTCTCTTTCAGCTCTGCCTCCCTTAACCTGTTTAATTCCCATTCTCCAGTACTTCTAGCAATGTCTTCTCTTTATTCTTTTCCTTCTCCTCTCCCCTTTCCTCCTTCCTACCTTGCTCCCTTTTTAATTTTTTCCTACTTCTATTCTTCCCTTCCTTTGTTAATACTCCATTGCTATTTCAGGTGACCATCATCTTCATAATATAAAAAAAAATCTATTCTTCTTTGAGATTTAATATTAATCATTGATATCACCCTCTCATCTTTATGGCCTTTTTCCTCCGTCTTGAATATCACTCATAATGGTTGCTACTCTATTCAAGTGGTTTTCTTGTAGAGGTAACTCTCTTCCCATCTGCTACCCCAACTCCAGAGGCCAGGAAGACCAGAAACCACTTGGTGAAAACTTATTTTATCAAATGCCAGTTTTACCTCCTTTGGCCCCACAGACACCACCCAAGTTGAGAAATATTTTTCACTGCTTTTCCATGTATTCTGTTAGTTTTGATAATTATGCATGAATTATTTCTCATGCTCAGACTTGGCTTCTGAGTCTATTCATCTTATTTGAGAGTTTCCACGCCCTGGAACTCTGTGAATTAAAACTTAACTCTTAGCTTCCCTTTTTCTTCTCTCCCTCCCACTCCCCAACACACACACACACACACATTTTCTTTATTTTTTAAAATTGTTGACACTGTTACAGATATCCCCATTTTATCCCCTTTTGCCACCTTCCACCCAGCCCGTGGTGCCCTCACAGACCTTTGCAACAGTATTGTCTGTGTCCATGGCCTATGCATGTATGTTGTTTGGTTAATCTCTTCCTGTACACTCAGGCCCCTCCTCACTGAAATCTGTTTGTCCCAAGTATTCATATCTCTAGTCCTATTTTGTTCATCAGTTTATTTTGTTCATTAGATTTCACATATAAATGAGATCATGTGATACTTATCCTTCTCTGACTGGCTTATTTCACTTAGCATAGTATTCTCCAGATCCATTCATGCTGTTGCCAAGGGTAAGAGTTCCTTCTTTTTTACAGCTGTGTAGTATTCGATTGTGAAATGTACCACATCTTTTTTTATCCACTTTTCTACTGATGGGCACTTGGGCTGTTTCTAGATTGTGGCTATGGTAAATAATGCTGCTGATAGGTGTCTCAGGATTCTTAGGTTATAATCCTGGAAGTGGGATCACTGGGTCAGATGGCAGTTCCATTTTTAATTTTTTGAGGAAACTCAATATTCTTTTCCATAGTGACTACTCCAGTCTTCATTCCCATCAGTGGTGTACTAGGGTTCCTTTTCCTCCACTTCCTCACCAGCACTTGTCATTTGCTGATTTATTGGTGATAGCCATTCCGACACATGTGAGGTGATACCTCATTGTCGATTTAATTTGCATCTCTCTGATGATCAATGACTCTGAGCTTTTTAAAAACATTTATTTTATTTTTATTGTTTAAAATATATTTTTATTAATTTCAGAGAGGAAGGGAGAGGGAGAGAGAGAGAGAAACATCAATGATGAGAGAGAATTATCAATTGGCTGCCTCCTGCATGCCCCCCACTGGGGATCGAGCCTGCAACCCAGTCATGTGCCCTTGACTGGAATTGAACCTGGCACCCTTCAGTCTGCAGACCGACGCTCTATTCACTGAACCAGACCAGCAAGGGCACTTTGAGCATTTTTCATGTCTCTTAGCCATTGTATGTCCTCTTGGCTATTGAAGTCTATTTAGGTTCCATTGTCCATTTTTTAATTGGATTGTTTGTCTTCCTTTTGTAAGTTGTATGAGTTCTTTATTTATTTTGGAAATCAAACTGTTATCAGAGGTATCATTGGCAAATCTATCCTCCCATGCCTTGAGTTCCCTTTTCATCCTGTTGATG